GAGCTGCCTGCCTGCTCTGGCCTTGAGCCAAGCTCTGGGGACCATAAGAGAAGGCAAGGCCTTCTCGCAAGAGAACCCTTTAGCCTTAATGGAGAAAAAGCAAACCAACCAGAATGTTCCTACCCTAAACCAGCTGTTCACACTGATGCCCTTCCAAATCTCTGTTAAGCACCTAGAATGAATAGTGTATGGCTGAGACCTTAGAGATTACTGATTCCCATTTGCTCTCACTTTGTAAAAGAGATCCAGAGTGCCCTGTGACTCCTCCCAGGTCACACAGCAGTTTAACCAGATTCCTGCCCAGGGCCCCTCCTTCTAACCAGCCCTAGCCTAGGACCCTAAGAGGTTTTGCTTGTAATCATTGACTTCCAGGGTCTTCCACACATAGGCATGTCCACTGCCCAGTCATTTCGCCTTCTAGACCCATCTCTAAAAATAGCCAGGCCACCAGGCTGCAGCAGCACCCACCAGGGCTAGGTAAATGCTGATGCCATCCATGCCTGGGAACCCAGGGGTTGAGGGGTCTCTGCAGCCCTAACCACTGGCCTTCAGGTAACACCGTGGGATAAGACTGTGATTCATTTTGTACCATGATCTGTGAGTTAGGCCTGGAGTCCCAGCATAGCCTACCTGGAGGGCTAGAAAACAGGGAAGTCAAATTTTAACACTTAATGGTAATAATGTCTAGGATGTGTGAAGAGCTTGCTATGTACAAGGCTAGCTATGTACACGTGCATGTATTATCTCATTGAATCCTCCATACAACACTGAAAAAAATCTAGTGTCAGGAATTGTGCTTTAATCATGGAGAAATTGCACCTCAGGGAAGTTAAAAATTTCCTAACATAAGATAGCTCAGTGGTGGTGAAACTGGACTCCAATCCACATTTAGTTGACATCTCTTTCTAAACACTTAACTGCTCTGAAGCCTCAAAGACCCAGCCCAGCAGGGGAGACACACAGCCCTGGCCCAGTCCCTGCAGCACGAGGCCTTGGGCACTGTCTGTACACCCTCTCTCCCTTGCTGTAATTTCCTAGCAGCAGAGAGAAGACAATCAGCCCAGCTGCCTGCCCCCTGCCTGCCTTGCAGGGAGCTGTCCAGAATATTAATGAGCTCACATCCTGGAAACCCTTAGTACTCCAGGAAGGAGGTGGCACTAGGGGGCCCATATGTCGGCTTCTGGTTGACAAAAAAGCCCCAAATCCCCAAGTCAAGCTTTTAACTTGTGGGAGGTCATAAACGTTTAGGGATATGGTTAAAGACAAGAAAAATCTTTGGGCTCTTTTTCCCAGAAAAAAAACGTACACATGTACTTACATATATTTCTACATGAACAGGAGTGGGGCCAACATAGACACTCCAAGAAGGCCAGCCCAATACCTCAAGTTTAGAATACCTGCCCTAAATATGCTTCATTCCTCTTAGCCTTTATTTTTATCATCTGTCAATTAATAATCAAGCCTATGGAAGTGCAGGTATGGCCAGCACATTGCCAGATGGGATAGGGTTGGCAATAGGAGTCTACACAGTCCCTCAAGATCTGTTTTTGAAGGCAAGACAAGCATATGAGAAATAATTGCTAGAAAGGTGTGGAGGAAAAGTTAAATCACATAAGCCAGCTCTTGGTGCATGGACAGTCAGGGCAGAAGGCATCACTGAGGAGTGTGGACATCAGCAAGGCTTC